CCAAAACCCCAAAACCCCAAAACCCCAAAACCCCTTTGACCAATGCTTCTATTGATAAGCCGAAAATATTAACTCAGCTCGAAATGCTTTCGCTAAACCCACTGAGATTTCTTAATTTGGTTCATTGCCAATATAGATATATTCCAGTTGTGGAAACTCATTACTATCTTCAGACACACAACCGAGTTCGGTCTCCTAAGCTGTAAAATAGACGTTTGAGGTCCTTTTGAGTTCAAGAAATGTCTTTCCAATAAAACAGCAAATTGAGATGAAATCAATGAAGAAGATGATGGAAAGGTAAGTATGAGACAATCTGCTATAATAAGCATACAGCTAACATAAAAAAGAACACTCGTCTAATCAAAACCTCGATTTAGAATGTTCTCTAATTTTTTTAATTTGCCTCTAGATTCCCTAATTTTCGAGCTTGAATTTGTTCTCTTCGGCTACTTTCTCAAAACAAAAATCTTTTAACCCAAAAAGGCATTACTCACTCTATATAGTCTCAGGAGCCAAACATAAGAATTAAGAAAATTGACATATTCGGTTGTGGAGCTAAAGACAGAAGTAATTGGGTGGAATACCCTGAACGTTTAGGTGATCTCCTAACCGTCTTGGGAGCACATAACCTATTGGAAAGGTAAGAAAAACAGTGTTTACTAATGCTTTGTGTTACCACGGATCTTTGCTTATATTTTAAGTATACTTTCTCATTGAACTCCATTCTGTAATTTTCAAGTAGACCCCATCTTCCTAATTATGACCTGAAGAACACGCTGAAAGAGATTTGGGTGAACCAATGCTACATGGCTAAAAAGGATATCAGAAAAGCTCTCGATCAAAGTGGGTTCACCGAAGTCAGAATAATTGGAAATTTCTAACAAATTTTGAAACTAAATTTTGTGGGAAATTACAGAGGTTTGGGATATCACCGAAATTGGAGGAATTTATTAAGTCTCATTGAAGGATAGCTCTATAAATATATCTAAGCGAGAATTTTAGCAGCTTGGCAAAGATTTCACAGAAAATATTTGATAATTATCGACCGAGTACTTATACTTGCTTTAATTTATAATTCTTACTAGTTTTTTTAAGAAAGGAAGTAAAGGTTTTTGGCATTACAATAGAGATTTAGTGCTTATAAGCGTTGTCATAAAAGATTGGGTTCTCCCAAATCTCAACCTAACTAAATTTCGAGCTCCACAGATCAAATCCCAAAAAGACCATTTATCAGTGTATTTTTAATTTCTTTAATCCAAAAATTTATTGATGATCACCACTGATTGAGCCTAGCTTCTCTTTGCTTTTAGACCTGAGGAGTTCTTCAGGGATCTTATTTTTGAACCATTTGTTTTTAAGTGACTTCACTGAGTAATCCTCCCTAGTCTTGTTCCTGAACTCTCTGACCTTAGAGAGGTTGCTTTCACTGAGTTTTACAGGGCTAAAAGAACTTCCACTGACCTTCTTAGACTTCAAAAATGGGTTTCTACTTTCTGAAAGGTGCTTGAACTTCTTCTCCTCAAAAGATTCTGGGTCTACCTTAGCCTTACTAGCCACCATCGGAGAGCAAGTTGAGTTTGGAGGTGCTGGAGGAAGCTTCGCTGGACTTTCTCCCTTTACAGCCTTTGTGCTAAATTGCTCAACAATATCAGCAGGAGCAGGCCTGACTCATTTAGACTCAGCAGTATGCTCAGAGTCTGGCTTCGGACAGAAAGGACTAACTCACATCATTTGTAAATCTGAGAGATACTTTCCTTTAATAGTTAAAAACTTAAAGCTTTTAGTTTTAGAATCATCACATTTCTTATCCTCTCCAAGGAGATTAGTAGACTCTCAATAGTTTTGCTTCTTCACAGACTTGGAAGCTAGGACCTTACTTTCTTCATGGCCAAGTCTTCTGGTCTGCATTCCTTTGGATACCTCATCTAAGTAATGTTGTGCGCGCCTGTCTTCGAATTCCTTCTTTGCCTGCTCTCTAAAACTTTAGAGGGTAAAGAGGACTCTGCTTTGCATACTTTTCGAATTTACTTTTAAAGATATCTTTAGAGCTGTCTTTAATATCTTCGTGGCCAGGAGTCTTGCATTGAATCTTTTTATTGGTATGTTTGGTTTCTTCTGAAGGAGGGATCTTATTACTCATTTTTAAATTTAAATTTATACATGAAGCCCCGGGGTTTTGGGGTTTTGGGGTTTTGGGGTTTTGGGG